ACAGACAACAGACAACACATAACACACAACACACAACACACAAAACGCAACACACAACACAAAACACAACACACAACACACAACACACAACGCACAACACACAACGCACAACACACAACACACAACACACAACACATAACATAGAACACAGCACACAACATAGAACACAACACACAACATAGAACACAACACACAACATAGAACACAACACACCACAACAACCACAACAACCACAACAACCACAACAACCACAAGAACCACAAGAACCACAAGAACCACAAGAACCACAAGAACCACAAGAACCACAATAACCACAACAACCACAACAACCACAACAACCACAACAACCACAACAACCACAACAACCACAACAACCACAACAACCACAACAACCACAACAACCACAACAACCACAACATCCACAACAACCACAACAACCACAACAACCACAACAATCACAACAATCACAACAAACACAACAAACACAACAAACACAACAATCACAACCACAGAACAACACCAACAACCACAACACCACAACAACGAACAAGCGACGACCACTACACCACCAATACACACCAACACACAACAACACCAACACCAACACCACGACCAACAATACCAACACCACCAACAAACCCAACCACACCAGCAACACTAACAATACCAACAACACCACCAACACCAACAACACCAGCATTAACAACAGCAACAACACCAACACCACCAGCACCACCAACACTACCAACACCACAACCACCGCCAACCCCAACCACACCGCCGAAGCGTTTCCGTCGCTTTTACCAGACTCCACTTTATATTTTTAGAGAGAAAATGGCCGCGTCGCTTTTACCAGACTCCACTTCATGTTTTTTTCCTTGCCCTCTCTCCTTTTTTTTCTTCGGTTCCTTTCTTGTTCACCTACCTTTCGTGTTCCCCCTCTCAAGTTTTCAGGTTTCATGTGCATGTGGGTTTGTGGGTAGTATGAGGTTTTTATGGCAGTTTTTTAAAATAATCGAGAAGGACCTTTCAGACTGGTTGACAGAAATGAAAAGGTCAACGTTCATGGGTTGATGCACCACTAATTCTGGGGATTTGAATTTAATAATTCTGAAAGTCTGAAATTCAAACAATTTTCTGCCGAAACAACTTGAACCAGGCATTTGATGTTCTGTAACAAAAAAATTGCCTTTGATGTTTTTACCGCAATATTCTGGTGTCCGTTTGCAAAGTCAATTCAATGCAACAAATTGGGGGAACAACAACAATTACATTATATGTATATTTTGCATCCTTGGATGGTCAAACGGAGGCAATCTTGAAAAATTGTGAGCCTGTTTTGCATTGACAAACATTTGAATTGTGACTATGGAACTGTGTGGCATCGATGCTGCATTTCGATTTTCTTTTGTTGGAAAGTGGAATGGTTGAACCTTCAGTTATTTCATTGAAATCATGCACCAAAATGTTGAAACAGTGTGCGCCATTAGCGTTGAGATGACGGCTAGATGGAGGTTTGGATGGTCACGGCTCCTGTGGCTGTTGGCACCCCTTTGTCATGCGGACATGTACATCACCATGGAAGATGTGCGACGCTTTGAAGAAGGCCAGTGGCAAATTGGGTCCGAAGCGGACAGCTTCTGCAAGGTCGATTGGGTAGGCAATGTGACTTGGCAGTGTTGGCGAACTAATCGGAAAGGTTCGATTCATTATATATCCATTTTGTGAATCGTTGGTTTGCGTTTTTGATTGTCCAAAATTTCCAACGCAGCTTAGGTCGGATTTCAAATTCTGCAGGCAATGCACGTGTTGACGACTTCCAAACCAGACCAATGCCCCTGGCAGCATGTTGGTTTCGGATGGGTAAGGCACAGTTTGGCAGAAAATTTTGATGGGCTTTATGGCCTCAGTTTGGCCGCAACTTTAAACATGGACTTTGATGAAATCATGGTCACAAGCAACAACTGCTCCAGATGGTTCATCATGAACCCTGCAACCTCCCAAATCTGGAGCAAGGATTTGGCTGGAAAAGGAAATGTGTGTCCTGGTTGGGGCCGGTGTCGCTTGGGTGACATGCTACGGTTGCTCAGCGGCCAGACAATCCGATGGTTCATTTGGGTAAGAAAAACAAGCCATCAGTGGGGAACTTGCGACTTTGTGGAGTCTGTGTTTGACACTTCCTGCGAGCCTCAACCAGATGTAAAGTGGAGCATTGGCTGGCCCGCGTACCTCGCGTTTTCGACTCTAAAACTGTTAAAGGCTTTGGAATCCGTGGAATCCGGTGCCAACGGTGCCAAAGTGACGAGCGTGCTGCAGCAAGTACGTCAAGCCGCAGGAGTGGAGCCTCGACAATACAAAATTTCATTCTGGTTTATTTGAAAATTTTGAAACGTTGGGTCAAAAAAATCATGTGGTTGAATGTTTCACGCTCGCCTTTTCGGACCCTATGTAACTATTCTCTTCTGGTTGCATGTCTTACGCACTTGTGCAACCTGCAAGATTCCAGGCCTCAAAGAGCCTCCAAGTTGGAAATCAGCAAGCATTTTGTTTTAAGTAGTGGAAGCGACGTGGTGTGCTCAGGTCAGAGGATGCTTGCAACACACTATTTGGGCACCTGCGATTTTGAAACTGTTTTCCCGTCCGATGCTCCGACCCTGGCGTTCCTTGTTGCAAGGAGCCATCAACATGACGGCAACTTGGGATGAACAGATCATGTATCCGACAACCCGATACATCCCAATTGAATTCAGAGAATTTTAAACATGGCCGAGAATGGTAACTCTGATTGTTGGTAAATTATAATTGCCTCATGTCACATGATATGTCTCAATGTTCTAAGTTTTTATTGATTCTCCTTATTTTTTGCAGTTTTCCTGTTCCAAAGTCGTGACTTCCGGTGGAACCTCGTCGAGAGTGGAACTCACTGAGGCCATGGTCCCATCTGCAAATCAACCCTGGTATGATGAAGCCTTCCAGAGCTGCAAGACTCCCAGCCCTTGTTGGCGTCCGATGGTGGGATGGATCAGCTTTGAGAGCTCTTGTTTGTTCCACAGCTGGGAGGGAAACCCCGTGAAAGGGAAAAAAATGAGAAGCGTCTTAATGGATTGGTCCCTCAGCGTGCCGAAATTTCTTGAGTTTTTCCATAACCAACACGTGAAACTATCACTTTTTCAATCAACAGAGGAAGGGAAAACGTATTGAGTACCGTTGCTCCCTGGTAAAACACGTTTTTGAACATAGAGGAAAAACGCACTTATTTTTGTGGCAATAAGGACTTGAAACATACATGTAATTTTGTTCTGGTCCTGGAAACTTTCTCAAGTTTACACACCCTTTGACAGAGTTGGTTGAAAAATCCAGTTGTGTTGGCGACTGTCACTCAGCTGTCACTCAGGCTTTGCTGCAATCCCTTCTTCGGTCCCAAAGGCTACTCAGAATGCTTTACAGAACCCTTCACCTATGAGTTGTGCTGCCAGGGAAATCAGGGTGTGGAGGTGAGGCTGGAAGTTTTTGTTCCGTGCACGACTTGCTCTGGCATTTTCGATGTACACATTGTCTTCAGGCCAAAATTATTGCACATATTGTTGAAAGTATCAGGAACATGTATAGGGCCCCTATACAAAGTAATGAGACAAAAAACTATGTTCAGTAATTCAACAGGACAGAAAAAAAAACATTTTTGACAAGTGTCCACAGCGAAACTTGCAAGAAAAACGTCAACCTAAAAAACTGGAAGACTCCAAACTACTTGGTGCTTCACGAGCTCTCGAGGGACGTTCCTTCAGGAATTTTTAACATCTCCCAAGATGGTTTAATTGCCTTGAGGTTACTGCGATGGGCCATGATACGCCTTAGCAATCTGGTATGAGCCCCATCTAAGCCTCGGCAAAGGTATAGAGACCATATTGCAGATCTCCAACTTACCATTTTAGGACCACTTTGGTAGGTCACGGGGTACTGGTACCACTGGTACCAGGTATCACCAGTGGTCACCAGTGGTGCAACGGGTGCCAGGTGAAGCCCCGGATGGAATTGAATGAAAGCAGTCTAACTACCTTGATAAATGCGGCGCCAAAGACGAGCAAGAAGGCGTGGTGATTGGATTTGATCGCTTTTTTGAGTTTGAATTTGATGAGTTTCATGTTCGATCCGCACTTCTTTGGCGTTTCCTTCACGTCACGGGTTGCCCAGGTTCACCACTGGCGTGGCAAGGTGCTGCCAGTGAATTGGACCGAAGTCGAATTGGAGGTCCTCCGCACTCAGAAACCAATGCCAGATGTCCAGGCGGAGGTCTTGTTGAAGAGAACGGCCACTGAGATGAGAAGTTGGATGGATGAAGGACAGAGACGCATGAACTGTTTTGGTGAGATTCCACAATTTCAATTTCACCACTTTGCTTCAACACTTTGGATACTGCCACAGCACTTCAATGTTGAGGCCTTGATTTTTGAAAGATGCTGGTGGATTCGTTCACTTTTAAGCGAGGCACTTGGAACTCTCCCTTGCCGCAGGACGTGGACAACGTGTTTGGCCTCAGGTCGACCTCTACGTCTCCCAGAATGTGTTGACTGCAGCGGACACCTGGGTTTTGGCTGAGCCAGATGCAGATGGGGCCGATTTGCTGTTCTCCAACGGCTATCTCTGTGACCAGGGCTGTTGTCCTGCAAACGCCAGTGCTTGTGCGCTGCGGCAACGCTCCCAACCTGGAACCTTTGCAGCGTTGCCTTCCGATGGGCCAGCGACTGGGCTCAACTTCGACGACCAAATCTATGCACCCAACTTTGAATCGGACCATATCCACATTGGTACAGGTTGAACATAACCCAGGATAATCCCAGGATGCTTTCAGTTGGACCTCATCTAGCAATCTAGCAATACCTTCATTTCGTCTAGACTTCATATGACCTGAGAAAATGTTAAGATATGGAACTCTTGAACGCAAATGCCGTCTGAAAAGTCGAATTTGGAGCTGGCTCCAAACTTTCAAAACCAAACAAATA